TCATTGCCATACAATATTACCCCTCCCAAAAAAATTAGTACTTAATGATGGGTTTTTGTCCTTCTCATTTGCAATTTATTATTTTCTTTTAATTCAGTGGATAAAGTGCCGAGCCTGGAGTCAGGAAGAACTGAGTTCCAATGTAGCCAAAGACACTAACTGTGTGATCCTGAACAAGACACTTAACTTCTGGTTTGTCTCAGTTTCCTCAAATGTAAGATGGGGATAATAATCATAGCACTTACCTCCCAAGGCTGTTGTGAGGATTAAATGGGATAATATTTATTTGTTTTGCTTTTTTATTTATTTTTTTTTTTTGGTGAGGCAATCAGAATTAAGTGACTTGCCCAGGGTCACACAGTAAGTATCAAGCGTCTGAGGACGGATTTGAACTCAAGTCCTCCTGACTCCAAGACTGGAGCTCTATCCACTCAACTACCTAGCTGCCCCTGGGATAATATTTGTAAAGCACTTAGCACGATGCCTGGCACATAACAGGTGCCATATAAATGCTTCTTTCCCTCCTTCCTTCCAAATATGTAATAATTCTTTGCCACTCTGTTTCATGGGTTGGGAGGAACAGATTGCAACACATTAGAAATGAAGGATTATGCAGGAGAAGCAACACAAGGAATGTCTTTAAGAACATATCTGACTGAAGATGTATGTGATTCAAAAAAATAATCCATCATATAACCCCCCTGGGCCTCAGTTTCCTCCTCTGTAAACTGAGGGGGTTGGACTCTGAGGTTACTTCCACCTCCAGATCCTTTGATATACAAACAGTTAGGAACATAAAATGGCTAACTATGTAATCCAATGGTGTCCGCTGTCAAGAGAAGTAAAGGAAGGTCCCCTTCGGCACATTCCTTGTAGGATTTATAGAAGGGCAAGGATAAGAGTTACATGGAATAGACATGGGTAGTTGGTTTGTGATCTGAAGCATTGGTCTCTACTACCACCCTTGAATTGCCATCCAGTAGCTCCTCTACTTGGGAGTATGTTCCAGGCATGAGGGACAGCCAGAGAAAATGGAATGTCTTGTTTTCAGACAGCCAGGAGGCCAGTGTCACTGAATCAAAGAATATATGTTGAGGAATAAGGTGTAAGAAGACTGGAAAGGTAGGAGGGGGCTGGGTTATTAAAGGTTTTGAATGCAAGCAAAGGAGTTTGTATTTGCTCTTGGGTACAATAGGAAGATGCTGGAGTTTATTAAGTGAAGTAGATGATATGATCAGATCTGCGTTAGTGGCTGAATGAAGTATGGATTGCAGTAGTGAGAAATCTGAGGTGGGCAGGTGGACACCAACACCTATTGAAATAATCCAGGAGTGGCCTGTACTCTAGTGAATGGTGGCAGTGCCAGAGGATAGAAGGGGACATATTCAAAAGATATTACAAAGGTAAAATCAGCAGGCTTCTGTTTGGGACATATTGAGTTGAAGATGTCTACTGGACATCCAATTTTAAATGTCTGAAAGACAGTTGGAGACGTGAGATTGGAGGTCAGTAGAGAGATTAGGGCAAGAAAGATAGATCTGACAATCATCAGCATAGAGATGGTAATTAAATCCAGGGGAGCTGCTGAGATCACCAAGGGAAGTAGCATAGAGGGAGAAGAGAAGAAGACCCAGGACAGACCCCTGTGGGATGCCTGATGTTAGATCACATAATCTGGAGAAGAATCCAGCAATCCAGAATCTGAGGTCAAATAGGCAGGAAGAGAACCAGGCAGAGTAGTGTCCTGAAAACCTAGAGAGGAGAAAGTATCAAGGAGGACTCAGAGATAGTAAGGGACTTACCAGGGCCATAAGTGTGGTAAGTGACATAGTCAGGACTCTGGCTCCATGACCAGTGTCCTTTTCTCTATGGCAATTGCCTCTCATCTTTCCTTGATCACAATTCCATAACCAGAAAGCATAAAGAAGGTATAGCTAAATGGAGAAACCTCTGAAAGATTCTTCTTGGAGAGGCAAATACAGGCACGATTACTTTAGTTTCATCACATTTTTCTCACATCAACCCTTGGAAGGTAGATAGCATAAGTATCAACATCTCTATTCCACAGACTGGCAAACTAAAGTTCAAAGAGGTCAAATCACCTGGTCAAGGTCACGTGGCACGGTCATATGGTGTTAGAACCAGGACTGGAACATGTTGGTTATGACCATCATTATTTCAGGATTCTTTCCACTACTTTCTCTCCCTTGACCTTCAACTAAGCTTGCCTTAGAATCCCCAAACTGGATAGCCCCTACTCTCTCTGTTCCTACTCTGGGACTATCCAGTGCCACTGGAGAAAGTCATGAAATGATGCTGATTGGGTCCTTGACCAAGTTGTGCTCTCGACTGACCTTTTAGCCAATGCCTTATTCAACTGCTATGATCCACAGCTCAGGGTTCAAGTTCACAGTTCAAGGTGCTATTGATGTGTAAATTTCTACCTGTAGAAGTGATGAACCAGACCCTTGATGGGATAGGATCCATGTATCACTTATTGCATGCTGAAATCCCCTTTTGGAGAGATTTCTTTCCAAAAAAGAAGAAACATTTCCATAAAGGATAGCTTGTTTTATGCCTTCTTAAGGATGAAAAGAATGTATAAGGATTTTAAAAGACATTAAAAATCAAAAGCAAATTAAATATAGTTTTCTTTTAAAGTATAGCTACCTATAACCACATACTTGCATGCTAACATTTCATGAATTTTTCCCCTTTATAATTTCAATAAGAAACTTTATTGAAACCACCTTCCCTTCATTCTTCATTATAGCTTCTTCTAAGGTCATTTTCAGGTTAATTATTAGTGAGCAAATTGAAAAGACTGCTCACTTTGAGAAAATAGCTGTAAATAGATATTTTAAATAACTCTGCATCATAAAAATTAATTGAACAAGCCATAAATGAACTCCCAAAAGGGAAAAAACTCTAGGATCAGATGTATCTCAAGTTGATTCTATCAAACACTCAAAGAACAATGAATTCCAGTAATAAATAGGCTGTTTGCAGTAATATTTTTAATCATTGTTCCAATCTCTTTTTATGGTTAACTGTGGTCCTGGTAGCTAAACCTGCTGTTGTTCAGTTGTTTCAGGAAGTGACAAACTACAAAAAGAAAATACAGACTAATCTCCTTAATGAACGGTGGTTGAAAATTGTAAACTAAAATATTAGCAAGTGAACTACAACAACATATTAAAAAGATCATACGCTATTACCGTGGTAGATTTATACTAGGAATCGAGGGTTAGTTCAATATATGGAAGAATACAAATAAAAGAAATTATGTCAATAATATAAATAATCAAAACATTACTATACCAATAGGTGCTGAAAAGGTTTTCGACAAAAACCGACACTCATTTTTATTTAAAATCCAGAAATCATAGGATTAAATGGACCTTTCCTTAATATAGTAAGTAGCAATTATCTAAATGCAAGGGCAAACTCATGTAATTGAAAAAAGTTAGGTGCTGGGGCAGCTAGATGGCACAGTGGATAGAGCACCAGCCCTATCAAGGGGACCTGAGTTCAAATGTGACCTCAGACACTTCCTAGCTATGTGACCCTGGGCAAGTCACTAAACCCTAATTGCCTAAAAAAAATAAAAATTAAAGTGAAATTAAAAGTTAGATGCCTTTCCAATAAGATGAGAGACAAATCAAGAATATTCACTATCATCATTACTATTTGAGAGTGCTAGGAATGTTAGCTTTAGCAAAAAGTCAAGAAAAGGAAATGGATGGAATAAGCAAAAGCAGAGACAAAACAAAGCTGTAGCTTTTTGCAGACAACATGCTGAGAACCTAATAAAAATTAATTGAAATAATTAAGAACTTTAGCAAAATTGTCAGATATCATGAAGATAAATCCATCAAAACCATTAAGATTTCTAAATATAACCAACAAAATCCAGCAAAAGGAACTAGAAGGAGAAATCCCATTCAAAACAATTACAGAAGCAATAAAATATTTGGGAGTGTAACTACCAAGATTCTCCAGGCACAATATGGATATAACTATAAAACACTCTGAAGAAATAAAGACATAGCTAAATAACTGGAAAAACATTAATTTTTCATGGACAAAATAGGCCAATGTGATAAAAAAAAAAGACAATACTACCTAAATTATTTACTTATTCAATCCTGTACCCAAAAAGAGAATATTTTATATAGCTAGAAAAAATGATGAAATTCATATAGAGGAACAAATTATCAAGCATCTCAAGGGTAATAACAAAAAAAGCGGGAGGAAGGGCAATCTACGAACAGTGGATCACAAACTCTAGTGTTACAGTAGTTGTTTAAAAAAAATTACTGGCGCTGATTTTTAAAAAAGGGAAGTCAATTAGTGAAACAGATTAGGTATACAATTTACAAAAACAAAGTAGCACAGTGCTTGATAAACCCAGAGATCTTTCATATTAGGGGAATGACTCACTATTTGATAAAATCCAGGCAGCAGTCTGGAAGAAATAAGGCTTAGACCAACACCTCACACCATACACCAAGGTAAACTCCAAATGGCTACATGACTTAGATATAAAAAGTCATATCACAAACAAATTAGAAAAACAAGGAAGAAATTACCTTTCAGATCTATAGATTTGATAGAGGCAGCTAGGTGGCAGAGCAGATAGAGCCCTGGGTCTGGAATCAGAAAGACCTGAGTTCCATTCCTGTCTTAAACATTTTCTGGCTGTGTGACCTTGGGTAAGTCACTTGACCTCTATTTGCCACAGGTTCCCCATAATAATAGGATGATAATAGCCCCTACTTCCCAGAATTGTTGTAAGGATCAAATGAAATAGCATTTGTAAAGTGCTTATCACAGAGTCTGGCATATAGTAGGTACTGTATAAATGCTAGCTTGTATTATTATTATTACTACTATTATCTATGGATAGGGAGAGAGTTCATGACTAAACAAGTGATAAAGGATGATAGAAAAAATGGGCAGTTGTGATTATATAAAATTAAAAATTTTCCACACAAATATAATGTAGCAAAAATTAAAAAGACAACATGTGACTGGGGGGGAGGAGATATCTTTATTTTTCTGATTAAGATGTCATTTCCATGATATGAAAGGGACTTATTCAAAGTTCTATGACAAAGAGCCATTCCACACTAGACAAATGGTCAAAAGATTTGAACCACCAGTTTTTAAAAAAAGAAACCCAGGCTATCTATAGCTATTTTTTTAAATATTCTAAAACACTAATAGAGAAAATCAAATCAAAGCAATTTCAAGATTCTATCTCACAAACTGGTAAACACGGCAAATGCTGGAGGAGCTGTGGGTAAATAGGCACATTAATACATTGTTGGTGTAAATTGGTCCAACCATTCTGGAAATCAGTTTGGAACTATGATCCTTAAGTTAACAAACTGTGCATATACCAAGCTATACCACCAGTAGGCGCAGACTCTGCCAAGGATATCAAAGAAAGAGGAGGAGGATCTAAAAAGAACATGTATGAAAATATTTATAACAGCTTTTTTCATGCTAGCCAAAAATGATTAACTAAATGCGTGTCCTCCTATTGGGTGATGGCTAAAGAAATTGTGGAATAGGAATGTCACAGAATATTGTCCTGCCATAAGAAATGATGAAACTCACAGTTTCAGAAGAAACTAGGAAGACTTTTACAAACTGATGTGAATAGAGCAATAAGAATAATTTATACAATGATAACAATATTATAGAGAAAAACAACTTGGAAAGCCTTTAGAACTCCAGGCAATGCAGTGATAAATAATGACTCTAAATGTGTCACCTCCTGACAAAAGAAGTGATAAACTTAAAAAACACTGAGATATGTTTTTCAGACATGGCTAATGGGAATTTGTTTTGCTGGACTTTGCTTTGAGCAATTTGATTTTCTCAGTGGGGCAAGGGTTTATGAGAGAATAGATTAATTTTTTAAATGTTAGTTACTTGAAAAATAATAAACAATAAAAAAAATTTATAGAGTTAATGGTTTTCTTTTAAAGAAGAGTCACTTGTAACTACATAATTTGCATGCTAAAAGTTCGACAATTTTTCCCCTTTTGCAACTTCTCTAAGAAACCTTATCAGGCATCTCCATCCAGTTCCCTTAATACTAAGTTAATTATAACTTCTTCCAAGGTCATTCTCAGGTTAATTATTAGTAAGAAAACTGGGAAGACTTCCCACTTCTAAATTAAAGCTGCCTCCTAAAGTTACCAAACACTTAGGCCTCACCCTTTTTTTTAATGCTCAATAAACATTTATAGAAATGAATTGTCATATGTATAATTTTTTAAATAATGGCATCTTCCTCAGTGGATGTGACAGTGCAGGTGGCTCAATGGAGTGCATCCATTATGTAAACATTCTGTGATGTCAACTAAGCTGACTGACAAGACATATACATGCACTTGTAAAGCCTGAGGTATTAGTGACTAAGTGAATGGGGAAAAGCAGCCCCTGCAAATCATCTAAAACATTTTATTAGTATATGTATTGCAATCTTGCTTTTTGTGTTTGAGGGTGGCTCTGTGCAGGTTGGAAACCTCTTCTCCAAACTGAGTATCAGTAGAATGCTACATATAACAAGCCCCAGCCAGTGAAGAAAGGTGGATTAGAACATGAATAGGCAGGGAACAGATGAGTTGAATGCTGCTACACTTTAGCTACACTGGCCAAGGAGAATCCATTTACTCTAGTAGGATGAAATTAGTTAGTGACAAGACAATGGAGCTGGTGTCTGACTGTGAGAAGGAAATCTGAGCCTTCTAGTAATGTGTACCCCAGTTAAAGGAAATGACAAACATTTAGCAGAATAAATAGTGATCCTGATTCCAGTGCAATATGAGTCAGTATCTCTAGATCAGGGGTTCTCACTGTAAAACCCAGCAACTTCTGTTACTCTTTAAAGTTCTCAATTTTGGTCACTCTTTTTTATCTCTTGTAGATGGTGTACCAAAAAACATTAAAATGCATCTCCTTTGCCTCTTACGAATACTGTTGCATTTTTTGATACACTGATTTTATAGTTTCTCTTTCCAGCACACATCTAGGTTCTCTCTCTTCTTGTATCCCTCGTTGCAAATTTTTATATGTTTCTTTAATGTCTCTGACTATGTCTCCATATCTATTTTGGTTCTCTCCTTGTGGGTCTTGAAGGTTTTGTACTTTTTGCTCAATCTGTGCATGTCTTGGCAGCTCCGGGGCATCGTATGTTGCTGCATTCCTCTCATGTTTTTCAGGCACCCCATGTTGCTTCCCCCTTGCACCTTCTGAGTCTTTGATTTCATTCCTGGTTGTTTCTCTTGTGTCCCTTGCAGCTCCTTCTGTCTCTCAAGCTGATATGAGACCCTGCCCATTATTGGCCTCCCCTCAAAATGACAGCTATCTGTTTCTGAAATTGCTGAGAGTGTTGAATGTTTGCCATGGCTGAAAAATCAATCACAATTTCAAAAAACATTGTATAAGAGTCAGTTAAGTGTATGCTGGCCAATTGGCATCTTCACACCTTGAAGGGAAATTATAAAATGAGATTTTGCCAATAAAGTGACGTGAGAAGTGGTGTTTTTTCTACATATATATATATATATATGTATGTATGTATGTATGTGTGTGTATGTATATATGTATAAGCAAGAACACTCCAACCTCAAATTACATTGCAACAGACCTCATTTGGATACCGATGCTTCTATATGCTGATTTCTGGCATGGAACCAAGAGTGATACAGGCCTGAGTTGCGTACCCCTCTCTTGGAATCACCCAAGAGTCCCTGGAAGCTTTCGCATTCAACCATCTGAGATTTTATTCATTTTTCAATATCCTTCAATAAATCATTCTTTAACATATATGAGTTCTGCATTGAATTTTTTGTTTTTACTTTTTTGTGCCTTAATGGTAGCATATGCCACATAATAACCCACTTAGAGATCATTTACTACTCAACATTAGGGAATGGATGAGAGATTGTCCTTCCAAATCTAGATCACTTTAGCTTTTTTGGCTGCTATAGCTACCTCACATTCACTAGTATCTTTTGCAGACAAACTGCAAAACTGGGTTTGCAGACAAACCTCCCTATGTCTTTTGCAGACAAATTGGGGTCTAACCATGTTCCCTATCTTGTATTGTAAGGATGATTTTTTGAACCCAGGTATAACACTTTGCATTTATGCTTCTTAAAGTTCAGCTTATTAGATTCAGCCCATTCTTCTAGCCTGCCTAGACCTTTTGATTTCCAATCCTGACACCCAAGGTGTTATTTATCCCTCCCATAGCTTTAGGTCTGGCAGAAACTTTAGAAGTCTCTAATACAACCTCTTCATTTTACATATGAGGAAACTAAGGCACAAGAGAGGTTAAATAATTTGCCTAAAATCACACAGGCTATATTAGCAGAGTTGGGATTTGAATGCAGGTCTTAGGACTCCAGATTTGGTGCCCTTTCTTCTGCATCACACTGACCACTCAAAACAAATGGAGATGCTAGAGATTAAACTCAGGATCTAAGACCTAAGATGGGCTCTACTCTTGGTCTACAACTCAAAGGTAAAGGAAAACAATGAGGGTTCCACAGAGGAATCCACAGCTTTATGTCATCTGCAAATCTGATAAATATCTTATCTCTGTCTTTACCTAAATAATTGACTTAAATGTTAAACAGCAGAAAGTCAAGGACAGTTTATTGGACACTCCAGTAGAAAACTCCTTCTAAGTAGATATCAGTACAATAATGATTGGGGTGTTCAGGGAAGACTAGCACCTTGGGTGTGAGGGCTGCTGAGCCCTTTCCACAGCTGCTCATCCACTGTTGGTATCCACCTGCTACCCAACTCTCACCTGTGCCTCCAAGAAGCCATAGCATATGCAGTGGCCACACCCTGGTAAAACCAACTCAAAGATGGGCTAACCAAGGGTTCTCAAAACCATAGATGAATTAGGGAGATGTCTACCCCAAGCAAACAAAGACCTTCCCCAATGGAATAGGCAGGTGAAAATGATTTGTTCCAATGACCATGAAGGTGGCTGAAGTTGTGGAGTTCTGAGAACTTAGACATCAAAGGAGCCTTTTTATCTACTGTATCCCAGTTGTCTTGCCTTTTGTCCTGCAACTGGACTTCAATGACTCAAGAAGAGAGAGTAAGACTGAAGACTTTGTGTAGCTCTGCCTCACTTAAATCTAAGTCACCCACAAGTCAAGATATCACCCTATGTCATTGGTCCTCTTCTTAAATGAAGGACAAATAATTATTCTCTTTTAGATCAAGTCATTCTGGACCTGGATTTCTAAATCCAACTCTATAATGAGTTAATTCAAAACTTTCCATCTTGGCACAGTGGATAGAGCACTGAGTCTACAGTAACTGAGTCTACAGTAAAGAGGATCTAAGTTCAAAGTCAGCCTCATATACTAGCTGTATGACTCTGGACAAGTCATGTAACCTATGTCTGCCCCAAGTTTCTCAATTATAAAATGAGGATCATAATAGCACCTACCTCCCAGGGCTGTTGTGAGGATCAAATTAGATGGTATTTGTAAAAGCTCTTGACATACTAAACATTGTATAAAGACAATTCCTTCCTTTCTCCACAAGATTAATACACAAGATTTAGTGGGGGGGGGGGAGAAAAGAAAAGAAAAAATGCTTTGCCATATCTAAGCAAACCACAGGAAATAGCCAACACATTACCGTTTTGCCTTTTGGTAACTACACACACACACACAAAAAAAGGAAAATAAGATGCAAGCTCATCTTAATGGAGCCATATTTGCTTTTTGTAATCACCAGTTACTTTTCTAAATGGTCGCTGGCTACTTCTAGAGAGTATGGTTCTTCAGTTGCTGGGGGAAGCAGGAGAAATGGTCATCAGCCCTGTTCAGTCTCTGTACCCAGTCCTTGCAATTTGTATCAACCACAATTGGCATCCTGAGAATTCTAAGGAAATCAAAAGAGCTGAAACATATTTAATTAAAAGAGAAAAATAGGGAAACTACACTGTGTGTCACCAATATTATTCAATATTGTTTTAAACCATTTAAAATAATTAGTATAAAATACCTGTCAAAACAGGCACCAGAACTACATGAATGTAAACATAAAATACTCTTTATACAAATAAAGTCAGATTTAAATAATTGGAGAAATACTCATTGTTTATGGGTAGGTAAAGCCAACATAATAAAAAAAATGACAATTTTACCTATTTATTTAATGCCATCCCAATTAAATTACTAAAAAAAATTTATTGAGTTAGAAAAATAATAACAAAATTAATTTGGAAGAACAAAATGTCAAGAATTTCAAAGAAACTAAGGGGAGAAAATGTAAAGGAAAAAGATTCAGCAGTACCTGACCTTAAACAATATGATAAGGCAAGAGCATTATTGAAGTGTAAAATGGATAATTTCAATTTTTTTAAATTTTAAATTTCTTGTATAAATAAAATCAATCTAGCCAAGATTAGAAGGAAGGCAGAAAATTGAGGGGAAACTTTCACAGACAGTCTCTCAGATAGGATATGATTATGGTGGAATATTGCTGTGGTATAAGAAAGGATGAGCTGGTTGATTTAGAAAAACATGGAAAAACTTGGACCTATGAAGGAAGATGCTGTCCACTTCCAGAGAAAGAGATGACAAAGAGAAATATGCATAGTTTGGTCATATATATGCATATAAATGTATGCATGCATGCATATGTGTGGGTATATGTACATATATGTTTATAGATATGTATGTAGATATATATTCACATTTAATTGTAGCCTGGGGGGTGAAGGAAGGGAGAATAATAAAATAAAATAAAATATAAAGTGCACAGCAGAGAACAAAAGAAAACCTAGAAGGAAGCACAGAAAAGTGAGGCTGCTTTGAAAACTATGTGTAGGATTTATTACATAGTTTTCACAAAATGGAAATTTATCATTTTATATTGAATCCTCTCATATTGTGTTGTGTACATGGAAATGTTCTTTCTTTTTTTCTTTTTTTCATTTTGTATTTAAGTTTAAAATGAATAAAAATGTTTCCAAAAAAAAGGAAAGGAAAGGTATTTTCTGGCTTTAAGTCAAATAAAACTTTAGTGTGAAAGAGTCCTGAAGACAATCCTAAAGGCCCCAGAGCTTCCATAGAGAAGCTGACTATATAGAGCTTACTGAAGTCTGATTTTTTTTAAGACCTAAGATAACACTTGAGTTATAGGCTAAAGAATTGGCAATGCTCATTCTGCCATGGCATGGATCCTTAAACTGGTGTCCATTAACTGCTTTAAAAAATAAAACTTTGAAAACCATATTTCAATATAATTGCTTTCCTTTATAATACTTTATAATCCTCGTCTTTAAAAACGAAGGATAAAGAACAATACTTATGTAATTTTATTTCATTATTTCATTGAGGAAACTGAGGCCCAGAGAGGCTATGTTATTTCCTCAAAGTCAAATAGGAAGTAAGTGAAATATCAAGAGGTCTGTAACACAAAACTGGCTAAGAACCCCCCACTTCTGGGGGAAGGCATCCTATAGCTGACCAGGAGTTGGAAGCTAACAGCACCAGCTGCTAAGCACAGATGGCCAGCAGAGGGAAGCAGAGAGCAGAGCCAGTACAGAGTGCCTACAGAGTAGGAGCTGAGAATTACCCACACTGTCTAGAGACACTTGCCCTGGCCATACACCTTTCCTTCAAGCCTCCCCTTCCTAGCTGGTGGTGTGATCAATTGTGGAAGAACACACCGCTGTGTATATGGGGGGATCTTTCTAGTTAAATAACTTGCTTTGCTATAAGAGTAAATGTTTTGCTTCAAATTTATGTGTCAAGCAAAAGAACCCCAAATGTGGAAGTTTTTGAGCCATGGTTTTAAGTAGATATTGACCTTCCCAGGGGTTCAAGCAGGGGGAGGCTTTCTAGGTTGGCAAGCCCCAGGGGCTGTATATGCCTTTAATAAGTATTCAAGAATCTAACAAGGAATCAAAGTCAAACATCTGGAGAATTCGTGGTCTTCCTTTTCTCGACAATCAGTATAGAATTTAACCAGGGAGGATTGGTGTAAGTGATTGCCAAGCTCTTTTCAGGGCTGCTCATCCACTTTTGGTGTCCACCTGAGCCACCCAACTCTCATCTGTGGTTCCAAGAAGCTGTAGCATGCACAGCAGTCACACATCCTGGTAAATCATCTCATCAGAGGGGCTAAACCAGGTTGAGGGTAACCAGCAGGACTCAATACCCATCAGAGAGTTAGGGGGATGTCTACCACAAGCATGTGAAGACTTACCCAGGAGAGTTTTCCAACAGCCATAGAGGTGGCTGAAGCAGGCACCGTAGAGAGCTTAGAACTTGGCTAAACATTGAAGACATAGAGGTCATCCACTGCATCCCAAGCCATCACCAGTCATCTTGAGTTTTGTCTTGCCACTGGACTTCGATGACTCTGGAAGAGAAAGTAAGGCTTTGTGCAACTCTGCCTCACTTACATCCAATTCACTCCAAAGTCAAGACAAGACCCTATGATGTCACTGGTCCTCTTCAAAAATGAAGGACAAACAACAATATTTAACCATCTCTAGTCCTGCCTTGGCCCTTCCTTCCTCTGCTGTCTTTCAAAGGTCACTGACATTGGCTCAGTAAACCCATCCATCAGTTGTTTTCATTAACCTGGATTTTAACTATTCTGATCCTGGTGTTCCCACATCTCATCTTATCACCCATCATTCAGTCTCTGGGAAATATTATAAGGAGGGCCACATGCGGGAGAAAATGGCAGGTTTCAAACTCCCTAAGAACAGTAGGTGCTCTCTCACTGTGTGATACCTTGAATGGCATAAAAAGAGACAGATTTGGATCAGTCAACCTGGGTTCAAATCTGCCTCTGCCACCTAGTTACATGGGACCCTGAGCAAGTTACTGAGCCTTTCTGGGCTTCAGTTTCCTGAGGGAAAAATGAGAATTTGGACTAGATAGTCCCAAAAGTTCCTATCTTCCTCTAAAAATCAAGTTGCTCAACTCAATTACAATTTCTTACATTCATTTAGGACTTTAAAGTTTATTTTTAAAAGTATATTTTCATAACTCAATGATTACCCACATTTTACTGGCAAAGGAATGGAGGGTCAGAAAATCAACTGACTTTCCTTGGGTCATAGAGCTGATAAATGCCAGAGATCTATTTTGAATTCAATTCCCTCCAATTTTAAATTCAGGGCTCTTTCCATTATATTGCCTCTAAATGAGCATTCTGGTACCTCTCAGCTCTAAAATGCTACAATACTGTCTTTCTTCTATTATTCTACTTCTGTATTTCTTTATCCCTTTGAGAGTAACCCTAAGATTAATATGTCTATTTTCTATAAGTTACCTTACGAGGCAGGTGCACTGGACATAGAGAAAGCCTGAAAGGAACTGTTGAAAGGAGCAAATCAGGAACCTGCAGTGAGCAAAAGCCTTGCTCACTCCCAGACACTTTTGCGGACCTTACCGAGCTGTGTGCCCCGAACTAGCCTAAAGCAGCCTTGCAGTTCTGACTGTTCCAATAAAACATCCTGCTTCTGTGTGCCACCTGTTCCTAGGAAAGGTTGTCCATTCTTTGGACCCCAACCTCTCCCTAAACCTTTCCTTTGTGGTTTTCAAGCATAAATCACCCCTGCCTATCCTAGGCTGTGAGCTCCTCAGCAGTAGTGGCTGATTTTCCTTTTTTGATGTTTTTTGTTTGTTTGTTTTTCCACTTACCAGCATTTCATTTTTTCCAATTGAATGTAAAGATAGTTTTCAACATTCACTTTTATAAGATTTTTAGTTCTAAATTTTTTTTGTTCCTCCATCCCTTCCCTCTCCCCTCCCCAAGATGGCAAGCCATCTGACATAAGTTATACACGTACAATCATATTAAAAGTATTTCCACATTAGTCACGTTGTGAAAGAATAATCTGATTTTCCTTGTAATAAAATTTTTCTGCTTCCAACTCAGCTTGGACTCCTCTGCATTTTGAGGGGTGGGCTTTGCCCAGTTGACATCCCACATCTCATCCTATCATTGATCATTCAGTCCCTGGAAAATGTCACAATAAGGGCTATGTGCAGGTTTTAAGGGCCCTATACATGAAAGACAGAGGTGATAAGGAAAAATAGAGTAAGAGAATAATAGACTTAGAGCCAAAAACATAGAGATCATCTAGTCCAATCTCCTCATTTTTACAATGAGGAAACTGAGGCCCTGAGAGGTGAATTTGCCCAAAGTCGCAAAGGTGATAAGTCACAGAGTCAGAATTTGAACCCAATTCTTCCACTGCACCTCGTCTTCTTAGCCACCCAAATTACACCTGACTCAAAGCCCAGCCCTAGACCTAGCCCTCATTTGAGGACAATAATCCTGGTTCCTCCTAATCCCTCCCTAAAATAAAGGCAGCAAGGGAGACTCAAACCTGATGGAGTTTTCTGTTGGTGAGGCGACTTGGCCAGCAGGTGGCAGCATAAGGCTGTGTCCCTGAGAGTGTGTCACTGGAGTGTTCCATTCCAGCCAAGGTCCAGACCCCCACTGGGCTTAGAAAGGGAGGGCCCCTGACTGGAGCAGTGTGCTATGGGAATTGATATCCCTGGATTAATCCACCGAACAAGACCAGAGTAATACTGATGCTAATTCTTTGTAAACAACCTGTGGTTTGTTTTTCCTCCAAGCCCTTTTCCAGCTTTCCTCTCCTCTCACTCTGGAAAGGTAGGAAAGCAGACTTTGGCTTATGATCCATTTGTGAGTTCTTCGGAGTGGGTACCGTGAGTGTAGATAACATACATAGTGGGTGTTCCCACATATCTTGGCAAAGCTCTGGTACCCAATCGCTAAAACGACAAGTCTTTGTTTAAGTACCAACTATGTTATATCATCAGCATCATCAAAAGTCATTTATTAAGTACCCTTAAGCTTTCTCTCCTCTCAAATCCCCTTGACTCGTAGGTTTAAATTAGCATGAATGTAATCGATCAAACAATGTAACAAACAATGCCAAGACACTTAAATATTGGCATCTAAGTGATGGAATAAGGTCAGGAAGACCTGAGTTTAGATCTTATTTTTGACACTGTCACTTAACCTCAATTTGCCTTGCTTCTTCATATGTAAAATGAAAATAATGATAGCACCTACTTCCCAGGGTTGCAAGGATCAAGTGAGATTTTGCAAAGTACTTTGCAAACCTTCAAACACAATATAAATACTAGCTATTATTAGTAGCTTTTATTATTATTAAATATTTCAATAACTTATCAGAGTGATAAAGCTTGAAGCAAAATTTGCTTCTAACCATTCCTTGCAACTACTGACACTCTCGATTCTAGAAACACAGTCCCACCGTTTAGCTCTTTCAAGATGACAACGTCTCCCAAAAATTCATTTTAAGATATCTTCTCCAGAGTGTATCTTTTCATGTGGTAAGAGTCAGATTCAGTTCTCTCATGAAATGTCTCTTTAGAGTCTTCCTCCTTGACGCTAAACTCATTGAGTATCTCAGGAAAGAACTGCTCCTTAGTCTTTTCTCTCTGTTTTCAAGCAGTCCATATCATAATAGCAAAGGGCAAATTGCCTCTCTCCCAAGATTCTTTTGTTGTTCATTTATGTCTGACTCTTCATGACACCATTTGGGGTTTTCTTGGCAGAGATACTGGCGTAGTTTGCCATTTCTTTCTCCAGCTCATTTTACAGATGAAGAAACTGAGGCAAACAGGGTCAAGTGACTTGCCCAGGGTCACACAGCTACTAAGTGTCTGAGGCCAGATTTGAACTCAAAGAGAAGAGTCTTCCTGATGCCAAACCCAGTGATCTACTCACTTTGCCACCTTGATGCCCATAAGAGTATTTATAGTAGCTCTTTTAATGATGGCAAAGAACTGGAAACTCAAGGAATGCCTACCAACTAGGAAAAGACTTAACAAATGTTACATGAATGCAATGGAATATTACTGTGCTCTAAGAAATGATGGAAATGATGCATTCAGAGCAATCTGGGAAAACCTGTGAAGTTAACAAAACCACGAAAACAACGTGTACAGTAACGCCACCATTGTAAAGGCAAAAACTTCGAAAGACTTAAGAACTCTGAGCATTGAAATGATGAACCACAGTTCCAAAGAATCCATGATGAAGTAAGCTCTCCACTTCCTGATAGAGATCCAGGAATGAATTAAAAATGTAGAGTAAGGCATATATATTCCAACATGGCCAATGTAGGAAATTTATTTTGCTGGACTGTGCATATTTATTTTAAGAATTTTTTTCTTTTAGATTGATTGGAGATGAGTGAAAGGGGAGAAAAATAACTCAAAAGTAAAAGAAAAATAAAACTCAAAAGTAAAAGAAAAAATAAGTAAGGACTATTTCATCTTTGTCTATATATCCCCAGCACCTCCTACAATGCCTGACATATTGTGGTGCTTACTTAATAAATACTTCTTAAATGATTGATTGATCGAACATAGACTATAAGAAGGTTAATAGTATGAGGAAAGCAGTGCCAGGCAGACTGGAGGCAAGATGGTGGATAACCTAGAAATCCAGGGTCAAGAGTTTAAATCTTATTCCATAAGCCAGGGGGAGCCACTGAAGCTTTTGGGGAGTAGAGGGATTGATCATAGCAGTGCATTAAAATAATTCAAGGAACAATGTGGAGAATAGATTATAAAAAGGGAAGATCAGAAATAAGATGCTACTATATTGGCCTAGGTGAGAAGTGAGGGTCTGAATTAGGGTGATTGCACTGGGAGTGGAGAGGAGAGACAGTTCGAGAGAAGCTAAAGAGGTAGAAACAATAGGACTTGGTAACTGGAGGGGAAGAATTCAGGGAAGAGTTATGGGTTATTACTTCTAATTATGTGATTTTGTGCACATATCTGTATCTATGTGTATATGTGCAATGTTTAATAGTTGTGTAGTTGTGGCCATGTTACAAATTGTCTGAGTCTCAGTTACCTAATGTATATGTACCACCCCCAACTCCAATGCTCCATCCAGGGCTTCAGGACCCAGTTTGGGGTTCATATTAATGTTCCTAGTCCCTATTATTTCCATCTCTGAGTCTCTTCCCTATGAAAAGCTGATATTAATCATTATTTATATGTGTATATAATATAATACATAATACGTATATCATTGCAACATAAAGTGATGATGTCCTTAAATATTTAAAAAGCCGGATGCGTAACAGGAAAATGAGAATAATTGCAAACTCTTCTAGTTCTCCCAGAATACTCCTCCCAACCTCTAGGTTGTTAATTCCATCCATCTCCTCTTCTCTACCGCCATTTTCAGCCCATGAAAAGGACCCAGGCAGTCTCTCCACCTCTCCTGTCTACCCCCAACAAGGTTAAAAAAGGAACAGCTTAGTTACCAAGAGGAGGAGCCAGAAACCTCAATTACTGCTCTTGGCCTGATCTAGTTTTCTGCATACCCACTGTGGACAATCACAGAAAACTAGGATGTGCCATGCTTCGGGTGCTACCACCTATGCTTTCTGCCCCAAGGCAGTCCCGTCTTTTCCCCCATGCCTTTTTTGCCATTCAACCACTTCAAAAAAATGGGGATGATTGTACTAGTAATATGCACTTCACAGATATCATGGCATAGTGGATAGAGAGCCCATCTCAGAGGCAGGAAGACGTAGGTTCCTGCCCTGACTCTCACATCTACTGGCTGTGGGACTGTGAGTAATTCTTTTACCTAGCAGTGCCCCAGGTGACTTTCCAAGACTGTAACAGACAACACGCCAATGTACAGTGACAAAGGGAGTTTCCTCGGTGAGAAGTCCCTGTGCCAATGAAAGCATGGTCATTGTCTAGCCCTGTGTATCTCACATGGTGTAAGCCTTTGATGAGATGATGGTGTCAATAAATCTCTTTGTAAATCTAAAAGAGCTACATAAATATCATCCATTTATATCATTATTGAGTGCATTGAGCAGTGTGTTCTACATACCCATCTATGTTCTTAAATCCTTCATTCAGAAAGATGGCACAGCAGGCCCATTGGCCATCAGATATCAGTCCTTCAGCTTCACCCTCTGGAGTGGCCCCTTCTGTCAGGCAGACGGTTCTGACAGGACTGAAATGAATGAAGGGTGGGAGGGAAGAAATAAGCATTTCTTAAATACTAATATGTGTCAGATATTGTGCTAAGCACATTATAAATATCTCATTTGACCCTCACAACTACCCCGGAAGGTAGGTATTATCATTATCCCCATTTTACAGATGAGGAAACTGGGGCACATAGCCATTAAGTGACTTGCCCAGGGTCACACAGCTAGTAGGTGTCTGAGGCCAGATTTGAACTCAGGAAGACAAGTCTTCCTAGCTTCAGGCCAGGTGCTCTATCCACATCAGCACCTAGCTGCCCTATATGGATAATAACCTCCAAGCACTTCCTAATGGGCAGTAGTTGCTGCTGCTGCTGCTGCTATTTGTCCTTCGTTCTCAAAGAGGACCATGACATCAGGGAGGTGATGCCATGACATGCAAGTGAATTGGATTTGAGTGAGGGAGGGCTGTGCAAAGTCACCAGCCTTGATTTCTTCTCCAGGGCCCTCTAGGTCCAATGGCCAGACATAGATCAGGATGACTGGAGATGGGCCAGGATGAAGTGGGAGACCTTGGCCTTTCAAGCTAAGGTCTTTAACAGGTCTCAGTCTGACTGAAGCAGTGCCCATTCAGTAAGCAAGGCTTGATAAGAAATTAGGCAATTCCAACAGGAATGTACATTTTAATCTCTGAAACATTTTTGTTTTGGTTTGTTTTTTTTCTATTAAAGACCAGCCTTAACCCCAAATCACTCTGCAGTAGCTATATTATGCACTGACAGCTAAACTAACCGTCAGTCAGCTCAAAGTGCTACTGGTTTATTTCTTTATTGATTCTTTATCCAGTCTCTAAGACAATCGAGAGGTATGTCTTGGTATTTTCTTATCAATTAATTGAATTGCATAATCTTTCTTATTAATTAATTAGCTCTGAGCCTTCTCTCTAGTTTATAAATAAATCAGAGAAACCTCTTTTCCCATAAGCTTTCACCTTTCTCTCTCTCTCTCTCTCTCTCTCTCTCTCTCTCTCTCTCTCTCTCTCTCTCTCTCTGTCTTTCTCTCTTCCTCTCTCTCTGTCTCTCCCTCACTTTCTCTCTGTCTGTCTCTGTGTTTCTCTCTTTCACACACACACACACACACACACACACACACACACACACACACACACACACATACACCCACACCCCTCTGGTATCATAGGTTTGTACAACAGCATGCTATTACTCATATAATTTATTAGAGTAGTAAATGACAACACAAATAGAAATAATTATTTACAACCTAACAGCAAAGAGCAAAGTTCAAAGCCTGAGTCGTCTCCGTGTGCCTCAAATGCAGAGGAAAGAGGTATGAAATGGAACATTCTCACCAGCTGAATCCCCTTAACCCTACAAATACAGTTCAAGCGGGATGGTAATTCAAGTCTCTCGGGAATTCTCTGCAGAATATTCCTTCAAGGGACAGCTAGGTGGTACAGTGGATAGAGCTCCAGCCTTGGAGTCAGGAGGACCTGAGTTCAAATCTGACCTCAGACACTTGACACTTACTAGCTGTGTGACCCTGGGCAAGTCACTTAACCCCAACTACCTCACAAAAAAAGTCAGAATATCTCTTCAATTTCTCTCAAATAGCTAGCTTTCAGAGTCCTCACAGATAATGGTCAAATCAGTATTTTCCTCAGGAAATTACAGTTTAAACATAATTCTCTCATTGCTCCTCTCATGGGCTCCTTCTGCATCACAGTTAACTATCATTTCTCCTGAGATTTTTCCCTCTTAGAGACACAGGAACAGTAACCATAGGGTCAGAACTAGATACTATTAAAGTTGGTGCTGCACCTACGTGTACACATGGTGTCTCCCCAGTAAATTCCTTGAAGGCAAGGAATCTTTGCTTTTTTTCTTTGTATACCCATCACCTAGCACAAAACTTGACACACTTTAGGTGCTTTATAAATTCTTATTGGTTTCTTACTGTCTTATGCAAAGCAAACAGCATCAATTAAATGCATGTAAAAATGAAAATAAAAGTTTTAGCTAGAGGAACCTCATTAGTCCAACCCCCCTTCATTTTACATATTAGGAAACTGAGGCTCAAAGAGATAAAGCAGTTTTAACTTGAAACTGTACTTGCAGGAATGTAGCAAATTCCTATTTATGTATATAATGATTTTCCTGTCAGGGATCCTTGTACTGGGCCACATGGGTACTAAGTAGCAGAGCTGGGATTTGAAACTATCTATTGATTTGAAATTTGGCTCTCTTTTCATTATACAACATTTATCTTTCTATAGCATGGTTTAGATTTAATATATTAATATATATTCCTGAGTTACAATCTGGCTTCAAACACTTACTAGCTGTGTGACCCTGGCCAAGTCATTTCACCCTGTTTACCTCAGTTTCCTCAACTATAAAATGAGGAATATATATAATATATAATATGAAGGGTTTTTTTTCTCTAAACCATAGTCTTGGGCAAGATCAAAAGCCAGTGATAGAGGAGGCAGTTCACTGAACGTGCTTTCGTGAAGATGCATTTGAAGCAGCTATTATGAGAATTAGGGCACTAGGTGGCGCCATAGTACACAGAGCTCTGGGCCTAGAAGTCAGGAAGACTCATCTTCCTGAGTTCCAATCCAGCCTCAGATATTTAACTAGCTGTGTGACCCTGAGCAGGTAATTTAACCCTGTTTGCCTCAGTTTCCTCATCTGTAAAATGAGCTGGAGAAAGAAATGGCAAAACCACTCCAGTATCTCTGCCAAGAAAACCCCAAATGGGGTCATGAAGAGTCAGACACAACTGAAAATGACTGAACCACAATAACAAATTACTGTCCAACAGATTATATGAAGATATATGGTTCGCTTGAAACTATTTCTTTAATTCTTAAAAAAAAAAGTTAAATTGGTTAGTCCAAAAGGCTGTCATTTCTACTGAGGATAAATGTCAGGGATTCTAAAAATCTTTTAGCTCTTACAGGTATTCTCCTGCCTCTCCTTCTTCCCCTCTCCCACACAGTTTTGGTAACTGGGTATTCAGCCAGTTGGCCAACATATTTCTGATGGCTGTTTCCTCAGAGGACTCCCTGAGGACAGAGGAAGCACTTTAGAGGTTTTCCTTCTGTCCTGCCCTGGACTGGAAGGTCCAGTCTATTCTAAGCCTGGTCTTCTGAGGACCGTCCACCTCCCAGGTGGATCCCTTTCTTCCTTCTAAAGCCAGAAATGTTTCTCAAACCAGCTCACTGGGCTCTGTTCTTCCTCTCAATTGCCTCTGAGTGACTGATCATAAAGGCCACTCAGTCTCTGCTGCCCAAATACAACTGGGAAATTGTTACATAAATTACAGTTACAGGTCTAAAGCTGCTTTACCTTGAAGAGAAAGTATAGTATAGTGAGTGTACATATGTATTTGTATATGTTTATATGTACCATGTGCATATGTATACAATAAGTATATGTAAGTATGCATGTGTGTATGTGTAGATACATGTGTGTATATGTGAATTGTGTATTGTATATACGTGTATTGTGTGTCTTCTTACATATATGTGTATATACATATGTGTGTGTGTATACAGGTATGTTGTTCTTTAGTCTTTTTCAGTCATATCCAACTCTTCATGACCCCATTTGGGGTTTTCTTGGCAGAGATACAGGAGAGGTTTGCCGTTTCCTTCTCCAGTTTATTTTACAGATGAGGAAACTGAGGTAAACAGGACAAAGTAACTTGCCCAGGATCACACAGCTAGTAAGTGTTTGAGGCTAGATGGGAACTCAGGAAGGGGAGTCTTTCTAACTTCAGGCCTGGCACTCTATCCACTGTGCCAACTAGCTGTCCCATCTATGTTTGTATATATGTATGTATGCATGTGTATCTATATATGTATATTTATTGTGTATTTATGTGTGTACAGTCAGCTCTCACTTAACGTAAGTGGACCATTCTGCAGACCTCTTCTTCACCTCTCCCTCCACACTGTGCCCCACCCCCTGGAGTGAAGGACCTGATATTAGTACCCCTGCCACTGCCTGCCAAGGACTGGAACCCAGACCTGCCACCAGCCCACCAAGGAGTCGAATCTCTGAAATGTAAATTTACATAAAGCAAAAATTGTATATGTGTGTATGTATCTATGTGTGTACATGTATGTGTGTATTGTGTATGTGTGTGTGCTGTTGTGGAAGGAGTTAGCAGTTTTGATTTAGGATAAAGTCACCTGTTCTCCAGCTCCTGCCCTGGCCCTTATTAGTCACTGTGGCCTTGTGCAAGTCATTCCAGCCTCGCTGAACCTCAGTTTCTTCACCAATACAATGGGAGTAAATAACTGCACTATTAACCTCACAGGCTGTCATGAGGAAGGTGCTGTACAAAATAGTCTTGAACAAGTACTTAATCATTTGTTCAATCAACTAACACCTATTGGGCAGCTATTTATGAGGCAGCTCAGTGGTTAGGTGCACAGAGCACTGGATCTGGAGTCAAATCCAGCCTCAGGTACTTTCTAGCTGTGTGACCCTGGACAAGTCACTCCACCTCTGCCTCCATTTCCTTAATTGTAAAATGGGGTGATAATTATAGCACCCAGCTCACAAGGGCTGTGGTGAGAATAACATGAGCTAATATTTGCAAAGTGCTTTAAAATCCCTAAAGCATTACATCAATGCTAGTCACTGTTATTATTGCTGCTGCTACTGTTATTATAGCACTGTGCCTAAGGCCACCGAGTTTAAAGAGGATACAACCTCTCCCTGCCTGGAGCTCATAATCTAAAGGAGTGATTAGGCAGAGCACTGTAGAATGGGATGGAACTAGACCTGTATGTCTACCAGTTTAGGGAACTCCAATTAGGAAATGACCCCTACCAATTCAGAAAGGAGCCTTCTCTGAATATTTTGCTTTGAGAGAAGTACCTGTGGAATTTAATGGTTGAAGGACTCACCCAGGGGCATATAGACAGTATGAGCAGGCCTTGAACTCAGATCTTTCCTACTGCAAGGC